TTCATTCATCCATTTTAATTTGACCAGAGAGAGATACACACGCACACACACACACAGAGACAGCGAGCGAGAGAGAGAGAAAGTGAGAAAGCAAGCCACCAGGTCCAGTATTTGAACCGTAGTCGGCCATGTGGGAGTGTCCAGTGCCTTAACCACCATGTCACCTGCTGGTCCCACCTTTGGCAAAATTTTTTAAAAAGCTAGCCGTCATTGCAATGATGAAGGAAGAAGCCCTGCAGAAGCAGCTAGGCTGTGCTGGGACTGCACGGAAGAACAGCAGCACCTGGGCAGCAGAGGTCGAGCGTCCTAAATCCACCTCCTGCAGTGTCGGTTACACCCTTCACTGGCACGAGCCCTATCCAGGGCCTACGAAGGGCTTTAGCAATGTGTCCACATGGTCATACGTTTCTGTCACATGCACAAAAGTGTGATGTTTTGCTATTTATTCATTTATTTAGTAAAGAAAGACCGTCTGAACTGTATAAGCTTCAGTCCTCACAAAGCCTGGCTCCTCCAGTATCTCTGGAGCCACCAGTGCATGGGGAGGCGGGTGCAGACAGTAGTGGATCGATCAGTATAAGCTTCTAAATATTGATCATAAATGTACAAGAGGCTGAGGTATGACACGGGGTCTGCCACCTGCTTAGACTGGCGGTGGGGTCCTGGTAACGAAACTGGAGCTAGGTGTGTGTCCCGGGAAGTCCCCGAGCACACCGGGTGTGTGTTCATGACTGCACCAGCCGAGACTGGGCGTGGATCAGTGTGGAGACCCTGTTGGCAGTGGCCCGCTTTCTCTCTCATGGAACAAACTTTTTTTTTTTTTTTTTAAGACTTTAAATAAGAAGAAATACAAATTTTCTTCTGTTCTGTCTTTAGAATTGAATTAATGCTTGCACAACACCCTTAATAGGTAACTAGCTAATTAAAAGAGAAATGTTTCCTTCACCTGCCACTTAATCAAATTTCGCATTTTCCTGCTATTTTTCCAAATGAGTCACTGTGCAAAATATAAACCATGTCGCGGCCCCGGCTAAGCTGCCTCCTCTGTCCACACTGCTGCTGTCTGTGACCTTTCCTGTTACCAGAGCCCATCGACTTTCACACTGAGTCCGCCAAGCTCTGCAGAAATTGCATCCCACGGCTCAGCAAAACAGTTTGCCATGCATTTAAAATAACTTCTCTAGGTAACTGTCACATTTTTCTCAGTGAAGAAAAAATTGCCAAAACTTGGAGAAGAAATATAATCACCGATACACGAAACCACTGGATCTTAGTAGAGCCCTTGTTGGAACAAATTCTTGATGCTTAGGGCCACAAAGATGCCACTTAAGTCACTCAAGGTACCCAAATACCTCTGCAGAGGCCTCTTCTGTATCCAGGCGACCTAGACACATCACGCCCCCTTTCGGTCTCCAGCCATAGCTAGGAACCGCAGCAGGGGCGGGGGAGGGCGTGATGAGTGTGTTAAGGCACGTCTGTCGCAGAGGGCGTGGAGAGCACAGGGAGAACAGTGAAGCCATCACAGGAAGGTCATTCTGCTGACCAGGGTGCTGCTGCCACGGCTTAACCTGCCTCCAGGTGAGACGAGAGCTCCAGACAAGGCACTCTGTAACTGTGGGAGGTGTGGGCTGTCCTACCCTGTAAGGCGCTATACTTTATTCTGATGGTGCATTACGAAAGCCTAAAATCACCTGTATTTTGTTTTGGGTAATGAAAATGATTACATAGGAACCAGCAGTTAGCGTAATGGCTACGTCACTGAACTCCCATGCAGTCAACCCCAGTTCGAGTCCCAGACCTGCTGACTTAAACTCATGGCGGGCGCGAGTGTGTGTGTGTGTGCCCAAGATCCCGAGAAAAGAATGGAGGAGAAGGGATTGCAGCGGGGCCATCCCCCTGGGGAGTGATTTCTCACTTTCTGTCTCTCTGTCTCTCTGGCAGGCACTCGCACCCTATAGCAAAAAAAGAACCTCTCCCAAAAAAAGAAAAAAAAAAAGATTACATAAATACATGCCTATTGTGAAAAATTTAAACAAGGGTCACCAGGTGCTATGGAGGTTAAGGTGCCGGATTCAACATGGCTGACAGAGGGTTTTGAGTCCTAGACCCAAGGGCTTGAAAATCACACCAGGCACATGTGCGTGCATGCCCAAAATCCCAAGAATGGAAGAGAGGAACTGTGGAGTGGTCATCCTCCCTAGGGAATGCTTTGTCACCTCCCCCCTTTCTGTCTTTCTCTGGCGAGCATACACACCCTATAGCAAAACTGAAAAAAAATTAAAGGTACATGAAATGCCACCACTTTGAGAGAACCACCACTTGGGGCCAGCAGATGGTGTAGTGGTTACGTCACTGGATTTTCACATGATCAACCGCCATCCAAGTCCCACATTTGGCGGCTTAAAAATCACACCAGGTGTGTGTGCATGCATGCCCAAGATTCCAGGAGGAGAATGGAGAAGGGATTGTGGCATGGTCATCCCTGCTGTGGAGTGATTTCTCATTTTCCCTCCCACTGTCTCTCTATCTCTCTCTCTCTATCTCTTTCCAGTAAGCACTCTCATGAGCCCTCAGGCAAAACTTATAAAAAAATAAAAAGAGCAAGCCACATTGTAGTAGCCATCCTTTCACACACAAGGACTTGTACATACACACACATAGTATATACGGGGAGCTACATATGAAACGGCTTCAAAATACTCATTGAAAAACAGAAGTACAAATTTATTGTGGTGCAAACATTTTTGAAGTTGGCGTGTGGTTTTTACATAATAACATTTTCCAAGACTTTTTTTTTTTTAAATGTTACCTCCCCATGGTGCCTGGTCATGCTGCAATGACCTTTCCTCCATTTTTCCACCCCGTTGGGATCTGGGGGACACACACACACACAGACCCGGTGTTTTTTATGCTGCCAGAGGTGAGCTTCAAACTATGGCCAATCACGTGGGATCCAGCTCTCCCACCCACCAGGCCATGGGGCTGGCCTTTCCAGGAGCTTTTTGAAGACCCCTCAAATACAGGTTGCAGTTTGAGTCCTGGACTGGTGGCCAAAGAATCATGCTGGGTGCGTGTGCGTGCATTCCCACAGGGGAATGGAGAAGGGATTGTGGTGTGGCCATCCCCCCAGGAGTTGATTTCTCACTTTCCCTCTCACTGTCTTTGTCTCCATTAAGCTCATGCACCCTATAACAAAAAACCCTTTAAAAAAATTAGGTGTGTAAAGTGGCACTCAGTAAATGATTTTTTTTTTTTTTTTTTTTGCTATAGGGCGCATGCGCTCGCCAGACAGAAAGAGAAAAACAGAGAGACAGAAACAGAGAAATCACCCTTCAGGGTGGATGGCCATGCCGCAATACCTTCTCCATTCTCCTCTCGGGATCTTGGGCATGCACACACACGCGCCCAGCGTGAGTTTAAGTCACTGGGTCTGGGCCTCAAACCACGGTCGACTACGTGGGAGTCCAGCGACATAGCCATTGCTAACTGCTGGTCCCTAGTAAATGATTTTCATTACTGTCACAATTAGGGAGCGGGTCAGTAGCAGTGCCCGGGTAAGCAGAGGGGAGAGTTTGGAAAGAATGAGGACAGAAGGCTGGACAGAAAGCAGGAGGGGGCTGCAGGAATTAGAGGAATCAGACAGGAGTTGGGGTCCACCAGTGCAAAAGTGAGGTGCCAGGGAGGGAGTGGCTAAGCACCAAAGAGGCAGGATAAGGTACTTTGGTCACAGTGAGGTCACTGTGACCTTGGAGAGCCTGGTGCCAGGGAAATTAGCATGTAAGGCAGGCTAGGCTGGGCTGAGGAGTGAGAGCAGAGAGGATGCAGACACGGAGAACCGTCTTTCCTGAAGGTCTCTTAGGAAGGAGAACGCGCACGGTGTCTGGGGACGGAGGGACCTCTGATGGGATGGCTTGTTCAAGTTGAGAGACCGAGTGTATACAAGGGGACTTCAAAAAGCTTCTGGGGAAATTAAAGTACACGTTTATTTTGGTGCAAAAAACCCTTGAAATCCATGCACCACACCACCAGCTGATCTGATGATAGATAAGTAGATAATAAATTTATATAAATGTTATTTGTTATAAGCCGTGTGCTTGCTGGAGAAAGACAGAGCCCGGCATGTTTTTCCAGCCGCTGGGTCCAGGACTCTAACCGTTCTACGTAGGGTCCGGCTCATAACCATGGCTCAGCTGGCAGGGATAAAAGATATTTTGAAGACTATTGTGAACAGATACGTGGCACTCAAACAACAACGGAAGCTCTCATTTGAGCCCAGTCCGATCGCACCCCCCTTATCTCTTGGCCAAGTGTGAGTCTGTCTTCTACGCATGCCGAGGTGGCTACACCCCGCCGCTGGAGGTCTACTTACTACGCACTCAGTGCATGGACCCCGAGCACGAGGGAAGGGGGCAGCACAAAGCTGTCCTTCCGGAGCTAGGAGGGGCTCTGGGACGAGCTCGCCGAACAGGACGTGGTTTCAGCTTCCCTCCAAGCAGACGGTTTGGCCAGAAGCACACTCCGGCCTAGTGCGCTTTCGGGAACGGAGTCCCAGAGCCCTGGCCCAGGGAAGGCGCCTGGGCCCGAAAGAGCAAGGTTCCTGAGGCCCTCTGCCTGACGAGGCTGCGACAAACCCAGTTCTCCGTCCCCAGCTCCCTGAGGTTTCCGGAAGGAATCTGCGGCAGGAAGGGCTGGCTCTACCTGCCGGACGCTTAGCCGACCAAGGGCCGCTTCCCGCAGCCAACAGCCAGCAGCACCGCGTTTTCCGAGACTTCGCAGGGATTGGCTGCCTAACCCCCTCGTCCCGCCCCCAGTCCACAGTCTTCCAACTGATTGGCTGTCGCTCCTTCCCTCCTTTCCCGACTCCCCCCCACCGCGCCTCGCCCCCAGCCCTCAGTGTTTCCAGGGATTGGCTGTAGGTTCCTCCGCCCTGCCCCGGCCCTGGCCTCAGCATTCCCGAGGATTGGCTGGGGGGTCCCTGCTCAGAGTCTTCCCCGGGATTGGCCGCCCGCCCCGCGGCCCTCCTCCCAGTCTTGCACAGCCCTCCTGTTCTCTGCGCTGTGCGCCTGTCGCCGGCCTCTTTTCACGCGGAGATGGCGGTGAGTGTGTCAGGGACCTCGGGCAGGGAGGTCTCCCGGCAGAGGACCTGGGCTTGTCCTGCGTCCCCTCGAGCTTTGCCCGCCCGAGCTTCGCGGCTCCCGGCGGCCAGAACGCAGGGGTAGAGCAGCTCTCGGCGGCCCGGGGGGCGGGCGGCCGTGCCCGTCTCCGGGTCGCGCGAGGCACAGGCGCCGCGTCCAGCGGCCCAGCGTTCCCCAGCGCAGGCCCAGGCGTCGTAACAAGTTTGCGCTCTGCTTCCCCAGGGCGGGTCTGCAGCTACTGTGTATCCGATCCCCGCCGGCCCTTCTCGCCTCCGCAGCTCGGGCGCCGAGAGTTCGTCTCTCATCTGCCGAAGCGCAGCGGCCTCAGTTCTTGGCGCAGGTATGTTCTTTCCTTGAGTAAAATGAAACGACCCAGGAGCCGCGCACGTGGCCAGTGACGGCCGCAGGGTTCCCAGGCGCATGCTTGGTGGAAAAGCGCTTAAGTAGTTGGTTCCCACATTGCTGATCACGTGGTTCGAATTCCGGCCGAGCGGTTTTAAAAAAACGCATCGAGTGGAATCGGAGCACCACATCCGTAGAGAAGTGCAGAAGGGATTGCGGCGCGATCACGTCCGTTGGGGTGCTTTCTCTCTGCAGTCAGAGCACGTGCTCCACCTAATAAACCAAAGAAAACAGAAACCGCTGAAGCACACCAGGTGTTTACAGGGAAGCAGTGCAGGAAGTAGAACACTTGTTTTAAAAAAAGAAAGAAAAAAATCTCAAATTGCCCTTTCCTGTGCCCTTTTAAGGCTGCCGCAGTGCTTTAAGAGGCTAACACAGAAGGGTAAAGTAAGTCTCCATAAAACCCAGAGAAGAGATGACCAGCTCCTCTTTGGATCCTGTCTGGAGTCACAACTGAACAAGAAATGTGTTTACACTTCCAGGACCTTTGGTATTTTTATACAGTTTCTAAAACATGTGATACATTTAAACTAATCTTTACTTTCATATCTTGGGGTATAACTTTTAGACTGTGCTGGGGATACTTGGTAGTATTATTAATAATTATTTAATTTTATTTATTCATTCATTAATTTAATTTGACCAGAGAGAGAAAGCAAGCTGCTAGATCCTAGACTTGAACCCTGATCAGCCATGTGGGAGTGTCCAGCGCCCTTAACCACCATGCCACCTGCTGGTCCCACTTGATAGTGTTTTAAAATAGGAAGGAAAATTTGGATACTTTGGTATTCTTTGTAAATGGGTTCAACTGAGGTGTGTACTCCGGGCTTTTTCTAAAAATGTCTGTGAAATGAGGCAAACTGGAAAAAAGTATAATGTTTTTGTTTAGAAGGTCTTTTAAAATCATCCCATTCTTTTTGTAGGTTAGAAGCCGGAAGTACCAGTTACTGGAGTTCTGCTGGAGTTCGGATGTCCCAATGCTGGTATTTCAATGGACTTAGACCAACTGAAGTTCTGTCATTGCGATAGGATAGGAAAGCATGATTAAGGAGGTCAGATACGGTCCCTTAACCTGGTCCCTGCACTGCCACCAGAGTTAGAGCAGCAGGATAGTGCTGGTAGTCTCAGGGCTGTGTGAACTGGTACCTCATTTTCACCTTTGAATTCTTACAAATCTGAAGTAGAGATTGTTCTTCCAATTTGCAGATGAAGAAGCAGGCCAGATGGTAGCTTAAGTTCTACCACATGTATGCTATAAGCTGCTTGCTTTGGTTTTTTAGATGGTAAATTCAAGTCTTGTTTCAGTTAAATCAGTTGTGGGTTCAAGTCCTAGCAACACTATTTAGAGCATAAAATATAACACTGATGGGGTCCTTGTGATCATGTTCTTTGGGGGCTTCTTGTCCTTTGAGAATTGAAATGAGAAATGATTCTAGCATACCTAAATGCAGTCCGTTTGAGTTTGCTGTCACACTGCCTGCACTTAGTCCTCCCTGAGTTTGGGAGGAGACGGGGATGGGTCTTTAAACCGCTGTGGCACTCTCCAGCTAGACCTGTTCTGCCAAAGATGTGGGAAAGGGGATAAAGTCTCACATTGTCTTTTTTGATTTTACACCAAAATAAGAACCATCAGAAAAGCTGAAATTTGCAGCAGGGTGAACAGGCCTCCCCGAGGCAGCTGGATGACCTGTCCTTGCTAACTGCTGTCCACCTCCATGTATAAGCCAGGCAGACAGAGTAATGGATTGCAGGCCTTTCTGCTGGACCATCTAGGGCAGTGGCCACATAGAACCCTACTGCTCTGCTCCCTGATGCTGACAAGCTGTCCACAGCTGTGTAAAAATGACTGGCATTGATTCAAGCAGACCAGACTTGACTGTCCAGCCTCGAGAGGAGTCAGACCTAGATCCCTTAAGATTAATTTTTAAAAAAGGAAGCGAGGGGAGGCATTACTGAAACTGACTAGAATGAGCCTGTTGCCCGTACCTGTTTAGGTGTTCTTGCAGGCCTTATATGCAAAAGAATACATCTGACCTCAAGTTACCCAAAGAGGAATCAAAATAGGGAGGGACTGTGGGCACAACCGCAAGGGTAAGTCCAAGCTCTCCCAGGATGAGAACCAAAAGCGTGGGTTCCCAGAAGTCCTACATGCAGACCTAAGACCTAAAGACTAGAATATCCCTACCAGTAGCCAGTCCCAAACAAATAACCTGAGGGCCATCGACCCCACCCTTGCTAACTATCCAGGACAAGTCCTTTGCCCTGAATGGTCAGAGACAGATTGGAGCTTTACTTCTGTCCTGTAGCTGGTCAGTTAATGCAATAAAGTTTTGCTCTGAGACCTGGTGGTGTGGTTAATGGCTTCTGTGTGCCGGGCCGTGAGCACATCGTGTGGTTTGTTTTTTCATTATGCACATTTCCCATGGGCTTTGCGAAGATGCCCCCTATAAGCAGTTTATGGTAGCTAATTGCTTTGAACCTAGAGAAGTTTCCCAGTATTAGGTTCAGAGGGAGCATGTGTCAGCCTGTTGATGGGTGTAGCATAACGACCTATATGAGATGGAAAAGTGGATGGTGCTGGGTGAGTCACGTGAGAAAGCACTAGTGATGATGGAAGTTCCTGAGGGAAGACAGGTCCAGGGATGCGTGGGGCCTGCTCCGTGCCAGAACAAGCCATCCTTGTGTGTCTGTTCCAGTAGCTCATTTTCCAGAACTTCGAGGTGAGGGTGTTCAGGGGTCACCCTGGAGTCTATAACATTCTGGCCTTTATATCTAAGCTTTCTTACAGCCCCTATGATACTCCAAGTTCAGCCTCATAGAGAAGTCCTTTTCGTTATTTCAACTACCACTATGTTAACCACCCACAACTGGTAGAAAAGGGGAAGATTTATGCTTGTGTGTGCACCAAGCGGAGGGCATCTGTGACCTCAGTAGGGAAAATCTAAGGCCTGATGACCAAGGTGAGCTGCTTGGGTATTTATATACATTCCCCTCTGCCTACAGGACAGATCAATGAGCCCACCTTCCTCTTCAGGGCTGGGTATAGATGACCTGAGAGTCCAGGGAATGTGGCTGTTCCAGCCACAGGGAAACCAGTTACAAGGGCCCTGGTAAGGGACAGGGGGAGACCCCAAACAGGACAGCCACACGAAGACAGCAGAATGGGAAGTGTAGACTTGGGAGAGTGCCACCTCCCTGAAGCTGGGAGGCTGAAATACATTCCCAGTGCTAACCTCCCAGGGGGCACAGGCCCAACTAGGTGTAGGACACATTCCCAGTGCTAACCTCCCCAGGGGGCACAGGCCTAACTAGGTGTAGGACACATTCCCAGCGCTAACCTCCCAGGGGGGCACAGGCCCAACTAGGTGTAGGACACATTCCCAGTGCTAACCTCCCAGGGGGCACACACCTTAACTAGGTGTAGGACACCCATTTCTGACCTCTTACCTACGGGGCTCTGAGAATGAATTTCACCTGCATTAAACCACCAGGTTTGTGGTAATTTGTTACAGCGGCCAGAGGTAATTAATGCAGATGGCAAGCTTAGGGTCACGAAGTCTGGTGTGGTCGGAGCTAGAACCTCGCTCCAGAGGCACCCAGACTGCCTCCTACACGGTTTGTAATAGTGCCTTGCAGGTGGTTGAGAGTAAATCACTTCATTAGTGAATTTATAAATTCTCGAAATACAACGAGTTAACCAGGAGAAACATGAGTGGCTAAAATATGCAAGATTAGCCACTACCTCCTAACAAAGCATCAGCTGATGGGATCAATTTATAGTTTGTTGGGATGCCAGGTGCACACTTAATGTCATTTATACAATAAAATACCACATTGTAAAAATGCAGTAGCTGGTATAAATTAAGACAATAGGAGACTCGGTCTAATCATTTTTGGCCTGTGGACTACATAATTTGGGCCAGCAGGGTCCCAGAGGTAATGCAGACTATTAAAATGAGTTTTTCCATAAACTCAGCTTTGGCTTGTGAATCACAGGGTCACGGGGACGCAGAGGCCACTCCTGTCATGGACCAGAATGTCACTGTCCTGCCCATGATTACATGGATGCAGAGAAATGAGGTGCAGGGAATGTAAGCAACGTGGTCTGGTTAAAGGAAACATCTAGTGTTGCTTAAGGGACTATTGTGAAGGCTTTTGTTACTTCATTCGAATCAGTTACATGACAGGATGACTTCCAAACTACGTGAGTACTGGGCCCACTAAGATTAGGTCCTCACCTGGTCCTTCCCCTTTTGACCCCACACAGTCCAGTCACGCAGGACTGTTACCTGAAAGCTCTCTGCCCCTTCTGCACCAGTCTTCCGCTGCCTGCATTAATGACCTCCTCACCCTTTTCTCTGTCCCCCTGTTGGATCTCAGCCAGCCTTCTTCACTTGGCCACCTCTTTATTTTGTAGGTTTTTGTTTTGTGTGTCACAGGGCGCATGCACTTGGCAGAGACAGACAGTGAGGGAAAGTGAGCCACCACCTCCCGGGGGATGGCCGTGCTGCGATCCCTTCTCCGTTTTCCACGTGGACCTGGAATGATTCTTAGGCCACCAAGTCCAGGATTTGGATTGCAGTCGGCCATGAGGGAGTCCAGTGCCTAAACGGCGTCACCTGCTGACCTGATCCCTCTTTTTTCCTTGAATTTTAAAGAGGGGTTTTTGTTTGTTTGTTTGTTTTTAGCCATAGGACATGTGCAGTCACCAGAGAGAGAGAGAGAAATCGAGAAGTCAACCCCTGGAGGGGGGATGGCCATGCTGTAATCCCTTCTCCATTCTCAGGATTGGGGGCATGCTGCACACACACCCAGTGTGAGGTTTGGCTTTGTTTTTCCCCTTTGACATAGGTTTTAAGCCACCAGATTTGAGACTCAAAGCATTGGACTATGTGGGAGTCCATCAGTGTAACCATTACACCACCTGTTGGCCTGCCCCTCTTTGTTTTTAAGGGAGGGTATCACTCTTGCCTCAGGACCCTCCTCAGCTTCCTGAGTTTCTGGGATCCTGGGCACTTCGCACCACACCCAACCTTTGGGTTGGCTGGAAATTAAACCCGGACCTCCCTGTGTGGAGCACAGCATCCTGGCGATGCTTAATACCATGGTGGGGCCTAAACATGTTGCTTTATACCCTAAGTCTGTGGTGATTTGTTATGATGGCCACAGAAAATGGGACCACAGCACTAGCAAGAGCCTGGGGAGATGGCCACCCGCAATCCCTTCTCCTCTAGTCTCCTCTCGGGATCTTGAACACACACACACACGTGCCTGGCGTGAGTTTAAGCCACCAGGTCCAGGACTCGAACCACAGTCGACTACATAGTCCAGCGACAGCCATTACGCCAACTGCTGGTCTCTCAAGACCCATTTCTCGCCAGTGCAGTTGCAGAGTCTTCTGCTTGCTTAGTGTGGAGAGCCACATGCACCAACATGGCTGAAATGACTTTCACAGGATAACCTCCAGACTTCCCTGTTCCAGGAGTAAACAATCCGCGCCTAGACTCCCCAACTTAGCTAACATCTGCAAGCAGCTTCTCAATCAGGTCCGCAACAGCAATCGGTCGGTAAGCTCCGCGTCCTGGTTAACGCCCCCTGGACAAAACAATCAATTACTGGTCCAAAACGTATCCTTCATTTACATATTGAGCAACAAATTACCACCCTGCTGTGTATATAAGAATATTCTCTAGCCCTCAATAAATGAGCGACTGTATACCATTCAGAGCTGTGACACTTGTCTCTCGTGTTGTGACGCTGCCCCGGTTCCAGGCCTCCGAGACCCCAAACAGGACAGCCACACGAAGACAGCAGAATGGGAAGTGTAGACTTGGGAGAGTGCCACCTCCCTGAAGCTGGGAGGCTGAAATACATTCCCAGTGCTAACCTCCCAGGGGGCACACACCTTAACTAGGTGTAGGACACCCATTTCTGACCTCTTACCTACGGGGCTCTGAGAATGAATTTCACCTGCATTAAACCACCAGGTTTGTGGTAATTTGTTACAGCGGCCAGAGGTAATTAATGCAGATGGCAAGCTTAGGGTCACGAAGTCTGGTGTGGTCGGAGCTAGAACCTCGCTCCAGAGGCACCCAGACTGCCTCCTACACGGTTTGTAATAGTGCCTTGCAGGTGGTTGAGAGTAAATCACTTCATTAGTGAATTTATAAATTCTCGAAATACAACGAGTTAACCAGGAGAAACATGAGTGGCTAAAATATGCAAGATTAGCCACTACCTCCTAACAAAGCATCAGCTGATGGGATCAATTTATAGTTTATTGGGATGCCAGGTGCACACTTAATGTCATTTATACAATAAAATACCACATTGTAAAAATGCAGTAGCTGGTATAAATTAAGACAATAGGAGACTCGGTCTAATCATTTTTGGCCTGTGGACTACATAATTTGGGCCAGCAGGGTCCCAGAGGTAATGCAGACTATTAAAATGAGTTTTTCCATAAACTCAGCTTTGGCTTGTGAATCACAGGGTCACGGGGACGCAGAGGCCACTCCTGTCATGGACCAGAATGTCACTGTCCTGCCCATGATTACATGGATGCAGAGAAATGAGGTGCAGGGAATGTAAGCAACGTGGTCTGGTTAAAGGAAACATCTAGTGTTGCTTAAGGGACTATTGTGAAGGCTTTTGTTACTTCATTCGAATCAGTTACATGACAGGATGACTTCCAAACTACGTGAGTACTGGGCCCACTAAGATTAGGTCCTCACCTGGTCCTTCCCCTTTTGACCCCACACAGTCCAGTCACGCAGGACTGTTACCTGAAAGCTCTCTGCCCCTTCTGCACCAGTCTTCCGCTGCCTGCATTAATGACCTCCTCACCCTTTTCTCTGTCCCCCTGTTGGATCTCAGCCAGCCTTCTTCACTTGGCCACCTCTTTATTTTGTAGGTTTTTGTTTTGTGTGTCACAGGGCGCATGCACTTGGCAGAGACAGACAGTGAGGGAAAGTGAGCCACCACCTCCCGGGGGATGGCCGTGCTGCGATCCCTTCTCCGTTTTCCACGTGGACCTGGAATGATTCTTAGGCCACCAAGTCCAGGATTTGGATTGCAGTCGGCCATGAGGGAGTCCAGTGCCTAAACGGCGTCACCTGCTGACCTGATCCCTCTTTTTTCCTTGAATTTTAAAGAGGGGTTTTTGTTTGTTTGTTTGTTTTTAGCCATAGGACATGTGCAGTCACCAGAGAGAGAGAGAGAAATCGAGAAGTCAACCCCTGGAGGGGGGGTGGCCATGCTGTAATCCCTTCTCCATTCTCAGGATTGGGGGCATGCTGCACACACACCCAGTGTGAGGTTTGGCTTTGTTTTTCCCCTTTG